CTGTGGCATTGCCATTTGGACATGGGAATCCTTTCTTTTATTCCAAATTCCTGTGGCATTGCCATTCCATAAATGAGGAATTGAGTGACTGGATTAAGGCTCAGCACCTTCAGCATGGGCATGTCCACACCGTGAGCAAAACCAAAACCAGAAGTGGCCTAAAACTTTCAGAAAATATGGTGGAAACTGCACAAGGTGAGTCAAAAAGGAAGTTCTAGGCTGTATCTGAAACACCATTAAAAAAGCTATTTTTTAAAAATAATTAATCCCATTGAAAAGAGGGGAGCAGAACCCAAGAGGCCGAAGGCGCTGACTTTCAAGGTTGCATCTTGTGACACTGTCAATTACTATGGAATCTATTTCAATGGAAAAATGTATGGATTGAAGTATGGGTTTGATGATGGGATAAGTGTTGTCTCCTGGTATAATATCCTGGAAGATGCCAGCTGAGCTGGGGTTAAACACTGGATTAAATAACTGGCAAGAAAGGATTGCTGAAGAAGCCGTCTCGAGTTACTCGCCCCGCGCTTGTCTCCCCCATGAAATCCTAAAGGTCAGCCTGAAGGTTTCTCCAGGGATCTAAGAATACAGGACAGGGCAAGTGGGTGGGAGAAGAAAACATGCATGCCTCAAACAAGCCTCTGTCAATGGGAAAGAGTCTTCTGAGTACTTGCATGATTTGTTCCACGTCGGTGCCGAAGGGGAGCCAGCAGGCAGCGAAGGACACCAGCACTGTCCCTGCCAGTTTGGCCAAGAGCACCAACCTGCAACAGCACAGCACATCAGCACAGCAGGGCTGCCACAAATGCTGCAGGACAGCAGCACCTCACACAGCTCACTGCCANCTGTGCCCAGCATTCCCTACATTAACAACTCACTGGATTATTCACAAGCACAGGGGTTGAAAAGTGAGTCAGTGCCCCAGTGTTACATTAATGTCACTTCTTTCCTCAGCTAAGAGTGCCACAGACAGATTATGCAAAGTGCACACCTGGTTTATTTTAAACACTGCTCTGCTGGTTTATTTTAAACAAAACAAAAAGTTATTTAAAAGTTAATTGGTGTCAGGAGACATTACTCTCCATCCTTCCACCCCCAAAAAGCAACAGAGTTGATGTCCCAACAAGCTCATTTCATCACACTAAGGATCCTGTAAAAGTAAGAAATATTGCCAGGTCTGTCACATTGAAGGATGTGTGAAACTCAGAAACCAAAAAACAGGAAAATTATTATGTTGCCCTACACAAAAAAAATCTAAACTAACTATAAAATATGCAAACTTCGACCCAAAGAATCAGAAACTAGGAAAAAAGTGAAAAAGAAACTACTCCAGTCTTGAAGGGTACAGCTGCCACAGACGTTCCTTGCAGAAAAGGCATCTTTTGATTGAAGTACACTTGTTACTGATGAAAACCAAAAATCCCATACAGCAGAAGCACTGAGCTGCTGTTTTAGTTACACACAAGCAACATCTGAGGCATGTTTATGTTATTCTTCTCCAACTCCACCCATGTTTAACTTCTATTCAAAGAAAGGTGTGACCCAACACCACCACCAAGGGGAAAAAATAAGTTAATTAATAATATAAATCTGTGGCAGCAGATCTCCATCTACAGGTAGGAAGGTGAACATTGATTTTGCATGTTTTCACCTGTGCCTAAGCCACAGGGGAGGCACTTTTATCTAAAGAAAAGATACATCAGTTCTTGGTATCCTGTGGGTAACAATGTTAGGAATCATTTTTAGGGGATGATAAAGCCAGTTTGGTCAATCTCAAACTTTTCACCTTCCTCTGGATGTCCAACACCTGATGAGGTGATCTCAAGATCCCACCTGTAAGCATGAGGTGAAAATCACAGCTAAAAAAACCCCAAAAAACCAAAAAAAAAACTGCTATCCTTCCACACTGCCTGCAATGAAGATTCAGATACTAACACCAGTACAAACACCCAGCCCTGGCCCAGGGAAGCTGACAGAACTCAACCATAGATGCATGGGCCTGAATAGGACTTCTTTTAAAAGAGGTGTTAGCACACATTTCAGCAGCTGAAAAACGCACACACTGAATGAAGGATATAATCTGTTACAGCAATACCTGTCCACAAGCCTGCTGTTTCCCTAATCCCTGTCAGGAGANCCAACATAATCCAATTTGAGTTGTAGCACATACATGGACTAAATTTTTACTCTAAAGAATATTAGGAATAATGCAAAAAATAAATAAAATATTTAGCTTCCTCCTCCTCCTGTTTTACGTGATCTGCACAAACGAAGCTGGCTACACTTAAATCTAGGATCCAGAATTCCCACACTGAAGAATCCCATGGATCATGGAAGCAAACAATGAACTCAGAGATGTCAAACCCAAGCAGGATTTCCTCTGTTCTCCTGTGTAAGCAGCACCTACCACTGCCTGATGGGTAGGTTGTAGGTGATCTCCTGCCAGTGCCTCTGAGCCTCGTAGTCTCCATACATGGGTGGTTTTCCTGCCCCTAAAAGGAGAGGACACAGCATTCAGGACATTCTTTGGTTTATAGATTGCTTACCCCCAGTTATGGATTGCATATTAATTACTCATTTTATTCTCCAGCCCTCTGTATTGAGAGCAAATAGAGATCTCATCATGCAGTCGAACAGAGAGAAAAAAAAAAGATGTGTGTTCTTTTGGCTTTCTGGAGATTTCTGCAATGAGCATTTATCAAGATACTCTGCTGTGAAGAACTGCTTCCTCATCTGACAAAAAAAATCATTTCCAAGTGCAGATGAAAAATGTGGTACTTTCCCTGAACTAGGAAAATGCACATAATGGACATGTTACAGTGATTCTGTGGGAGCTGCTGCACTCCTTGGTGTGTGATAATTGTCAATATTCTCACTTGTTTCAGCCATGCCACGGTACCTGACTATTCATATCATTATAATACTATTATTTGCTATTTTCATGGAAAAGAAAGATTCATCATTGCAAATACTTCACATGTCAAATACTCCTCTTGATGGAAGCCTAACTGTGATAATGGCAGCAAAGCATCTTCCCAGAGTTTATTTACTTCTATTAACCTGCTCATTGAGAACAGAAACCAGACTGATTGTGCTCCCACTGAAATATTGACATGAGCCAGACAGAGATTTAAGAGGTTCTTTAAAATATAGGAAAGCCATCTGTGGTTTCACCATGATCTATGTTTGTGGGAATCCCACCAGCTCAGCAATGTGCAATTTATTCCCAGAAAGTGCAAAGGACCTCTTATCTCTGCTAATTCCTTCCTGGGGGTGGAGAAAGCAGATTGTCTCCACTCTCACACATTCAGATTAAAGTTTCCCAAATAACTGAGGTCACTGGAGTTTCATCAGTGTCAATTCTGTAGCTCTAAGTCCAGTGGAACAAAGAATCTGCCACTGGATTACTGAAATACAAAATAAATATTTGAATCACTGAAATACAAAATAGACATTACCCAAATTTTAGAGTGTTTGTGTGTGTATCAATTTCTCAATCTTCAGGGGAAAAAAAGGATGAAAATAATTAATTGGCTTCAGAATGATCAAAAGATCTTAATCCAAAGGTTGATTATTAAAAGCCAGCTACTAATCAGTTAGTTTGACAATGCACATTTAGCTTCCATCTACAGAAAGCAGCAAGTACACAGACAAACCTAGTTAAAATTAATAAAACTGGAATATTTTATTTTAAAAGGCTCACAAATACCTTAAAAGTAGTGATCTTATTCAGTTGTATTGTTAACCTGGGAACAGAATTTTAAGTGTTTGAAGCTGTCTCTCAATACCTGTATTTAGCAGGAGTTTGGACATGCATTAAAAAATCAGGCATTAACCTATGAAACCAAATTTTTCCTCAGTAATTCCCCAAGACCAGGCCATCACTAATGGTAATTTCTCAAAACCAGGTATCAGTTTTTGTTTCTTCATTGAATTCCAGAGGCAGATCCAAAAGCAATGATGGCAAGGAACAGGGTGGGAATGAGACAGAGATCCAGGGGTGCACAGTGAATGAGGGTGGAATTAAAAGTTTATCACATCTGCAGGAAGACAAAGAGGAAAAAAATAATCCCAGTGGATTTATGTGCTTGGCAGCTCTAACACTGGGGTTTGCCTTTTTACAGCCAGCCAATGCTCAAAGTCAAGCTTTAATAATTGGCTGGACTGGATCAGATTCAGCTTTTCCTACTCCAAAAGCAGTTATATCAGCACTGGGGAGGAAATAAGATTTAAAAATTGTTATTTTAGCTCAGGCTTTATTTTAGACTCTCTTCCACAGTCTTGATTGGGATGAAATTAAATCAACTTACAAAAATCTAGTTAGCAACGGAATTCTAAATAAATCCTCTTGCACTGCAAGAGAAATTCAGTGTGTGCCTGAAGCCAGGGTGTTCCCTGCCTAGAAATGGGTAAAAACCTCAGTCACCCACAGACCTCTCAGAAATGTCACTGTGAGAAAGCAAACTCAAACCAAAACAATTGGAAATGCAGCTCAGCTTCAAGCAAATTCTTCAAATAAATGAAGCTCAGAATTACCAGTTAAAAATCACCAGAATGCTCCTGAGCAGCTCAGGGGATGGGGCTCCCATTGCCTCAAAAATCCAGAGTAGAATCTGACTTGTGATTCTTTGGGCTGATGAGGATTGAAAGTATTGGTTCTTTTTTTTAATCTTTTTTTTAAATGTGCAGAAAGCAAGCCTTGTGCAAGTGTGGGAATGGAACTGGGAGGCTTGGAAAGGAACTTGCTAATTCTTTGCAAGCCTTCTGACACGAGGAGGAGAAAAACTCATCCATTACCAGAATGCAGCTCTGGCTCCTGCTGTAAACAAGCTTAAGGAGGTACAGCCACAAGGCAGAGTCATTGCTCACTCCATGTCACCTCTGCACTGTCTTCATTAGCAGCAGCATTAGCTACATGTAAGCTAAATAAAAATATAAATAATAAGGTCATATCTGCTACAGAATTTAAAAGACAATACGAGGCAAAAAGTGGACTGCAATATTCTGCAAATAAAGGCACAGGGGAAAACAGGCAGATATTGATCCTAAAGCATTAATGATCATAAGCACTATGCAAAAAAAAAGTTAAGGTTGGTTTTTCCAGGGTTCTGCTCCAAACTGTGATGTTAATCATGGCACACTTCAAGAAATAAGAAAAAGGAATTCTTGGGGAAATTAAGAATAACAACAGTTGAAATAACACATTGCTTCCTATGTATGATTTTACATAAACACCAGTAAATTAAATAACAATAAAGACCATTCATTTCCATTTGTGCCAAGCCCATGCCCCCTCTCCCTGGGGCTGCTGCAGGTGGGCAGTGCCCTTACCTGAGTAGGAGCCCAGGGACACGGCCCAGCGCACGGTGAGTGCCAGCAGCACCGTCAGCGTCATCAGGCTCCACTTCTCCATGGCTGCCACGCTCCTGGGGACACAGAGTGTCACTGGCACTGCCCTGCCAGCTCCTGTGCCAGCCTTCCCTGCATTAACAACTCACTGCATTATAAACCTGGGACACAGCAGGGTCACTGTCACTGCACTGCCAGCTCCTGTGCCCAACCTGCCCTGCTGAACATTAACAACTCACTGCATTACAAACCTGGGACACAGCAGGGTCACTGTCACTGCCCTGCCAGCTCCTGTGCCCAACCTGCCCTGCTGAACAGCCCCCACATTAACAACTCACTGCATTATAAACCTGGGACACAGCAGGGTCACTGTCACTGCACTGCCAGCTCCTGTGCCAGCCTTCCCTGCATTAACAACTCACTGCATTATAAACCTGGGACACAGCAGGGTCACTGGCACTGCACTGCNCCAGCAATGCCCACAGAAATGAACCCAGCAATGCCCACCTGCACACAAGGACAACCCCACTCCCCATGCCAGGTTGATTCCTGGGGAGGATAAAACACTTTAAACCCACTTACCCCTTTCCTTTCAGTCCCTTCTTGAAGCACTTGCCAAGTAAATAGCAAAAAAAGGGCAGGGAATGGTAGAGCTCCATTTGCTTATAATTTAAGGCCAAGCAAAATGCCACAGAGCCCAGGAGGTCCCAGTCATGGGACAAACAAAGGACAGCCCACAGGGCCAAGCCAAGGCTCACTGAGTTGTATATGGTTTTTTATGTCAAGGACAAGATACACATCTCACTTCTGGAAGGCAGCAATTAATGCCCTGGGGGAAAGCAGAAATAGGTTGTAAAATGAGTTTTGCCAAGTTAGCTTTAAGAACGTGTTGCCAGTTGTGACTATGTTGCCCCCAAAATTCCATTGGAAGTGTCATTTTTAGATTTCCAAAGTTTGATTCAGAGCTTGCCCAGGCAAATCTGAGGGCAAATTCTGTGTGTGTTAATTACACATGTAATTACACATGCATCCAACCAAGCCAGCCATGGTGACAGTTCTCTGCAACAAGCAACATTTCCTTCTTGGCATTTACATGAGTAATGATAAAGCTCTCACAAGCTTTCCCTCCCAGCTCCCACAAGACACAGGCAGAATATTCAAATCTGTGCTAAATTATGTATAATTTCCTTCAAGGACTTCTGAAAGGTTTGTGATTCTGTTACACACACAAGGCACCCTCACCCATGACCAGTACCCTGACTGCTAATTCTGCTCAAACAAAGAGAAATAGTTGCTAAAAACAATGTTACTGCCTTGTGACTTTGAGAAGAGCTTCCCAGGCTCAGATTTTGAAGAGACTAAGCTACACTTACTGTTAAACTGCAACAAAGTTTTGTCATTTTTGTAAACTGTAACAAAAGCTTTGGTTTTTACTTGTTGGAAAAAACAGTAAAGGCAGAATCCCAGACTGGTTTGAATTGGAAGGGATCTTAAAGCCCATGCAGTGCCACCCCTGCCATGGCAGGGACACTGACACTGTCCCAGAAGTGTTCAGCCTGGCCTTGGGCACTGCCAGGGGCAGCCACAGCTCCTCTGGGCACCCTGTGCCAGGGCCTGCCCACCCTCCCAGGGAGGAATTTCTCCCCAATATCCAATCCCAACCCACCCTCTGACAGTGGGAAGCCATTTCCTCCTGTCCTGTCACTCCATCCCTTGTATTTCTTGTATTGTCAGAAATGTCACAATATTTTGTTTTCCCTCTGTCAAGCTAAGCAGCTGTGACAACACATCCAGCCTGCCCACGGAGCTCTCAGCCCACTCACATTTCCCACTCCCCATCACCAGGTGTATTTGACACCTCATTGATTTCACATCAGCAAACTCCCACCGAGGCCCTGATGGTGCAGCAGCTCAGGGAAAGCAATCCCTGCCTTGCTGGGGCTGCTCAGAGGGTGGCACTGCCCACAGCACCGTGGCAGGGCTGGCATGAACCTGCAGGGAATCCCTGCCTCAGCAGCTGCTGCACCTCCAGCACGGGGTGAGCTGACAGCACTGGGCTGCCCTGTACAAACCAGTGTAAAATCAGGATTATTAACAAGGAGCCCCTGTGGAGGTGGCACCAGGCAGCCAGGGCACAAGGGGAGGTTTGACACAGCTCCAGCTGCCACTGCTCTGCCAGCCTGGGAAGATCCAAGGGGACTCCCTGTGCACACCCAAATCACAGCACAGCCCATCACTCTCCTCCCTGTCACAGCCCCACTGATGCTGCTGCACTCAATGACTGACAGGGAGATCAGCTGGAGGCATGGCAAGAATGATATTCATGCTGGGATTGATTTGTGCCAATAGCAATCATTTTTATCTCCAATATGTTTCAGACTTGCAGCATCCTTTGATATCTCTGTTTGGGGTGGGCAGAACCCCCCAGATGGCTCTGTACACCACAGGCACCCCCTGCTCAGCTAACAAGTGCTAAGGAGCAGTAATTCCATAATCAGAACTCATTTCCATGCAGAACAAGGATACTGGAAGTGCCCATGGTCAATAAGGATGAGGCCTGGGTAAAGCAGGATGCAGAGAGCACTGGAAACCTGGCAAGAAGGATCAAAAAGGAGAGGGGGAAAAGAATTAGTCCAAAATTAGACATTAGACAGAGGAACTACTTCACCTCCAGTACAAAAATGTGCCCCTCCATGGTGCATCCTATAGGTAGGAATCTTAGTCTCTACAAGTCATCATTTGCCATTAATAAAAAAGGATAAAAATTTGCCATAAATTAGAAAATATTGAATATTGCCTGCCCTTTACTACAGCTCAAAGATCACTTACACCTATGTTAAACCACTCCAAAATCAGGAGATTTGTTATTCCAAAATCTACTGTAAGGAGTGTTCAAGACAAAGCACAAATTCCCCCCCTCCCACACCACAAATATTTTTTGGGGTTTTCTTTTACTACTCAAGTAATACATTAATGGAAAATCTTGTAATTAAAAGCATTAAAATAACTGCTGTAAGATAAAATAAAGACTTTTAAAATGTTTTAAAGTGAAAAGCTTATAATATAAGCTATAGTGGTTGCCATCAGTTTTACAGGGAAGCCATCAGGGTGTTCTAGGTGTTAATTAAGTCTGTGTTGCACTTCTACTCTGTTCTAACAGTGTTTTCTTTGGTTAATTTACACACACCAGGTACTTGCCTTTTTTTTAGCAGATGTTTCTTTCAATGAAAAACAATATAAAATAACTGCAGGGATATAAACCAGCAGATCAGCAACAAACACTGAAAAATAAAGATTAACTTTCCATTAGAATCCTCTCACAAGGAGGAGGCAAGGAAAATAAACATCAAAATATCCGAAATAAACTGGGCAGTTCCACTTCAAAGGACAAAAAGAACCAGGTCTACAGAATTTGATCTTGTGAATGTTTCTCAGGCTCATTTCTGATGTCCCCAAGCTGCTGCTGCCACGTGTTCAGCTGTCCTGGCTGCTGGCACAGCCTCAGTCACTCTCTAGTTCCTGGCATGCCACAGGCAGGGCAGGCATTCGGGAATGGCCCCGAGGAACCAGCGCTGCTGGACCCAGCCTGGGGGCAGCACTGAGAGCCTGGGCCAGGGAGAAACCCCAGATTATCCCAGGCTCTGTGGGAATGACCAGTGGTGGGGATAAAGGCACTGAGAGCAGGGATTTGGCTTTCAGCACCTGCCCACAGCAGGCATTTGTGAGAGGGGACAGAAACAGAGGCAGCAGGGTCCCCCTGCCCAGGGTGTGCCCAGCAGGTGAATTCTCCAGCCTGCAGCAGGGTCTGAGCTGGCCCCTGGCAATGCCTGGGGATTTTGGCTGCTCTAACTCCTCATTTTAAGGAGCTGCAGCTCAGTGTAGCTGAGTGGATCAAAGCTGCCAACTCCATTATTATGTAACACCTCTGATCCCAACTCTGGCACACTCAGGGTTTGGATATCCCAGGAAAAAAAGTTCCTATATTCTCATTTTTGTCCAACAGGATGATCTGAAGTCACTACACAGAGCCATCTGCAGAGTTCACATGTATTTACAGAACACAACTGCATTAATTTGCTCTTTTGTCAGATTAGTCTGTTCTCCAACAGTGAGCCAGGAAAAACTACACCACACTGCACATTTGCTGAAAGTGGTTTGTGGAAATCATCTGAGGTTTTTGTTGTCCTTCAAACCTCAGATGATTTCCACAAACCACTTTCAGCAAATGTGCAGTCACTCCAAGGAGATGTTTAAACATTTCAGTTACCCAGGGGTGAATGGTTTTGCCAGCTTAAGCTACAACTAAACAAATATAACCAAGGTGTTAGCAAAACAAACACACTGAAGCTTAAAATAAAGCTGCCATTGACTACCCTGAATTATTTTAATGCACTCCTCTAATGGCCCCTGTTAAAAAGTGTTTATCAGCTCTCCAGATCCATCAGTGCTGTGTCAAGTGAGTTGATTTCAAAATTAATAAAGACCATTTCAAGGGTAATTAAATACTAGTGATTTTTATTTTTTTTCAATTCAATCAATTACCAGAGAGCAGACTGAGAGGTTTGTGAGGTACAGAAAAGCTATTGATGAACAACAAATTCTGCTGTTGCAATCAAAAAGCATTTTGTGTTAGAAAATGCAAAAGACATTTCAAATGAAAAAATAGTAACAAGAAACAAGAGTTCACTGGCCACATTGTTTCTGTCCTGCTGCTGCAGCTACTAAATTATGGTACAAATCTCCTTCTGCATTTGTTTGCAGTTCAAAATAATCAAATGGTGGAAGACAAATCTAGAATACAAGTAGTAAAATAAAATTGTACTTTTTATAAAATTTGATATAAAAATAATACAAAATACAAAATAATTTGATATTATTTTGCTCATAGTAATAATATCAAATATCTCTGCCTTTGAGATCAGCTCCTAATGAAGATCTCTGATACCTCCAGAGATTAAGTCAGGAAAAGCCAGGCTATATGTAAAATAATTTTACAATAAAAATCAAGTTAAGCTAAAAATAAAAGACTATTTATCAGAATAGAAGGGAAAACAAGAATGCTTTCAAAATTAAAAAGTGGGTCTGTGCTACAAAGAGTAGTTGTGTTTGAGAGTTTTTAATTAATTAATTGGGTTGAAAACTTGTTTCTATATTTTATATTAATCTGCTTCACAAATGATGGCAGAAGAGGAAATAATGCAGGAATTTGGCTCAGAAATGGACCTGCAAATGGACCCAATTGAAAACCTGAGAATAAACCAGTAAAGAGAGAGAAGCTGCAAATTAAACATGCTGAATTAGGAAGCAAGACAAATGTGCAGGATGATGCCAAGGAAATATAATCTCCCTACCTGTTGTACGCATAAATAACTTATGGGGCTGGCTCTCATAGCCCCGAGACGTGTGCAGAGCAACCCAATCTGGATTTATGAACTTTGCACTGTAAAACAAAGTACAGACACATCAAAATGCAGACAGTTCTCATTTCCCTTTACACTCCTTGCAGCAATAAAGATGACACAGACAGGAGCAGATTCCAAGAATTAAGATGAATGAGAAGAAATATTTCAGGGAGCAATAGTGATCAATGAAAGCTTTCCTCACCACTAGATCAGTTTACACTATAGACTGTTCCACAATTAAAAAAAATAACCTTTGGAAACAGTAAAAATGGAATACAATATTTATTAGGACAAGATAACCACCTCCAGTCTGGTTCCAGGGACTTTAAAAAAAAACAATTGTAAATACCTTTCATGCTTAAGTATTAAATATAAACCATTTACAGTTCACATAGATGCCCCACATAGCTGTGCCTGTGCACTTTAACCTACATTCTTATTCCATAAGTCTCATTCCAACAGCAGCAAAGCCCTTGTGGAAAAAGTATTCCAATAACAGAATTCTATTTACATGATATGCACTCATCAAATGTCACTTGGGCTCTGCACACACCAGAGCTTTCCCAGGCAATGCCCCCCTGTTCCTGCAGCACTTTCCCCTGGGCATCCCACATNGGGGTGAGGAAGAGAGGGTCGAGGATTCTGAGGGGGATCTCAGAGCTCGGTCCGGTGCCTGACGGGGCTCCGGGAGAGCTGGAGAGGGACTCTGGACAAGTGGCAATGGAAGGGGGAATGGTTCCCACTGTCGGAGGGCAGGGATGTATGGGATATTGAGGAGGAATTCCTGGCCCTGGCACAGGTGCCCAGAGAAGCTGCGGCTGTCCCTGGATCCCTGGAAGTGTCCACGGCCAGGCTGGACGGGGTGTGGAACAACCTGGGGTAGGGGAATGTGTCCCCTGCCATGGCAGGGCTGGCGCTGGATGGACTTTAAAGTCTTTTCAACCTGAACCAGTCTGGGATTCGTGTTTTTCTGGGGAGCAGAGCCTCAGCCCTTACAACTTGGAGACGATATCTGGGAGCAAAGCGCAAAATCCCAGGTTGGATCAGGCTGGAATACACAGTGAGATCATCTGGTGCCACCTCTGCTCAGGCAGGGCCATCCCTTGAGGCTGTCAGCACACAGCCTGGAAGATTCTGGAATCTCTCAGTGATGCACCACAGGCCTCACTTTTAAACCTTTCAATCTTGCCCCTTTTCATTCTTTCAACGAAGTACAGTGCGTAACAAAAATCAGAGAATCACAGGATGGCCTGGGTTGAAGGAGACCTCAAAGATCATTCCATCCTCTGCCATGGGCAGGAGCACCTTCCACTATCCCAGGCTGCTCCAAACTCTGTCCAACCTGGTCTTTTCTTCTGGTTGTGTGTCTGACTGAGGTCAGGACATGAAACTGAACAGAAAACTGATTATTCCATTAACCAACAGCAGGTACTGAGGGTTTCATGGCCACACCTGCCAGGTGAGCTGGCAGCAATGCTCTCCTTGGGCTGGAGTCCCAGGCCTGATAATTGTGATGGATTTAAACACAGCTGCTACAAAAAACAAATCTGGTCAAGAAATGTCTGACCACTTACAATAGAAACGTTAAAGTAAACAGAGATTACTGCAAATTAAATTGGTTTGTATTTTTTTTTCAGATGTGCAGATTATTTTTAAAACATATAAGCACTATAAATATAATATTTTGTAACACCAGAGATACATCAAGGAAGAAAAGCTATTTCCAATGCAGGATGCTGATTTCCACTATCCCAACCTTTTTTGTGTACAAATTCTTTGGACATCCTGGTCCCTCTTACACTGCCATAATTTCAGCCTCTTGTGCTGTTGCCTCATGTGGGATGGTGTGAAGAGACTGAAATCTCTCTTAAACAGATAAAGGTAAAAGTCACACCTGTCTGCTGGCTTGCCAAGGTGTTTGGAGCCTTAATCCTGTGGAAAATGGCAGATTATGCCCATCAAATTTTACACAGTTTGCCTAATCTGATACACTTAATAATTTATATTCCTGCTGGGTAAAGTGTGTCCATGTCAGGGTTTTGACAGGATGTCTGGAAATGACAAGTCTGTAAAATAAGGATAATCCTACAAATTCATCAGTTACAAACTTAGAGTTACACCTGAACGCACAGCGGGCTGGAGCTGCTCTGTGGCACTGAAACAAGTGAATTCCCAGCCTGAGCAATCACCAGGGCAGATTCCTATTTCAGTGCCTCTCTCCTCTCCTTTTGCTCTCCCCTCCAGGATTTTCCATGCCCGGAATTCCCCAAAGAGCAAGGCCGGGGAGCGCTGAGAACTCAGCTGCCCCCGAGTCCGTGCTCATTGCCTATGGACTATTACAAAAAATAATTAAAAATGAATTTTAAAAAAGAGGAATTTGGGGGTTTTTCCTTGGAGATTATTGCTGATTCCGTGCTGGAGCTGGGACAAGCGAGCAGGAGCCCGCGGCCACACATTCAAGTGCATTATTTCAATTAGCCGAGCGCTCTTTGTTGCAAGGTGAAATCATTCACTCCCCGCGAACGCTTTTTTATTGAATGCTTTCTAAATACTCGCATCGGGCGCGTCGCCTGGAATTGAGTCTCTGTCACTTGTGTTTCTGCGGTGACTTTGAGCAGATCAATGACTGGAAAAGGCATTCAGGACACATTGATACGGCGGGCTGGGAGACGAGCGCGGTTTGGTGCTCAGGAGTCGGGAGAAGCCGATAATGAGCAGATAAACGGCTTTTCTTAACCCTTGGCGTTCTCGGGAGGCTTCGCAGCTCCGCCGCCTCCTCTCCTCCACCCCGGCTCTCCGGCTTGATGGCAGCCGAGCGGTGGCAAGGCAAAAATCCATAAATTTGGGATGAAATGCGGCCAAAATAACGAGAAAGTCTTTGCTAGGGCGAGCGGGGGTGAAGAGCCTGCGGCCATAAAAAGTTCCAGCTCTTGCAGAATTTCCTTTGTGGTGCCGGAGAGAGCGGGGGAACAAACTCAGGAGGCGTTTGCAATTGCAGATTCCCAATTGCAGATTCCCAGATTATCCCGAGCCCAGGACATCGCCCGGGATGTGGCGGGCACGGAGCATCGTGCCTCAGCAGCCTCGGCTCTTTCGCCTTCTCCTTTGCCGAGCAAAACCGGGATTAAACGCGTCAGAAACCACTACCTGAGCCCTCAGGGGGATGGATTTATTTTAATTTTTCCTCATTAAATATTGGCACTTAATAAAGTAGTTACAGATTGGTGAGGGATTGGGGTTTTCTCCTGAATTCCTGCCATTTTCTAGGCGCTGGGCTACACGGAGTTTCCCTCGTCCGGCCGGGGATCCCAGCCCGGGGGATGCTCCGAGTCCTCGGTAAAGCAGAGCAGGACCTTTCCTTCCATCCTTTCCTGGACAGGAGGGATCGAGCGGTTTTCCTGTGTCCCGGTTTTTCCCTTTTCGCTGAAGTTCAAGAAAACCGGGATTTTATCGCACCTGGAGTTCAAGGACGCTCCCTCTCACATTTTGCCGTCTTAATAAAGTCGCGCGGTTCCCGCTTCCTCGGCTTGCTTACCAAATCCCGGATTAATAAAGTTTACTTAGTTATTTAAATAGATTAAATGTCACATTTTAAATGGAAGGGGAAGGTTCTACCTTCCTGACCTATTTTTCATTTCTGATTTAGAAAAAGGCAAGATTAGCATGGATATTGCATTTTCAAGGACCTCGCCACTATTAAATAGACTGTTAAGTGCATTTTATGGCTGGAGAGTCTGTTCCCAGTTCAGTCTGGAAGACGTGCTAAGTTCATCTCTACCTGCTACATTGAACATTCACTGACTAAAATACTTCCTGTGGATGTAATACCTATGCTCTGTATCTTTTAAGTACATAACGCTTAATGTTTTAGGACTGGTAACACGTAATTCAATGAAAGCCCCCGGAATTGAAGAGTTGCCTCTCACGAAAGCCGTGTTGGGGGTGTTTGCCCGGGTGCGGCTCGGGGAGAATGCGGGATGGATGGCACGGACGCTCCCGGCTGCAGAAGGAGGTTGGGGCGCATCAGTCACCGCCCCGGGGGATGCCCGGGCTGTTCCGCAGCCGCGGGGATGGGCAGCGCAACTTGCGCTCGGAGCTCGCTGTGATCCTTCCCTCTCCGCCTTTTAACACCGATTAAATGCCCCCGGGAATGGCCAGGCTGGTTTTCCGCCTCCCCGGAGCAGGCGGGGACAGGCCCCGAGCGCACCTCAGACACGAAGGAGAGAACAGAAACTGCCTGAGGTGCCCCGAGAGGCAAAATCCCATCGAATTCCCCATCCCCCGGGACTGCCCCCTCACCCGCGCCCGCACGGGTGTGGGTAAATCCCCAATTCCCCTAAAGCAATCCTTGCTGTCTCTCTCCCGGAGCGGGACACCCCGCGAAGGATGAGGGGTGCCTCATCCCAAAGCCAAATGCTGGCGCTCCTTCCTTGGT